GGGTAATTATTTGGCCGCCTGCTGCTGGATGTGGAGCAGGAACTCGCAGTAGGACGAGGCCGACTCGTTTCGGTCCTCCACCAGGTGCTGCAACATGGCCGCCTTCGCCTGGCCGTCGTCTCTGAGGGAACGCAGCACAGAGACGGGTTAAGAACCAGAAATAAAACCTTTAACACTTTAACACTTTAACCCTTTAACAGAAGTAACATCTGTGCTGGTTCTGCTGAGTATGAGTGTGAGATGGGAACCACTGTTTAAAGTTTTTAGTCCAAAATCTGAACAAACAGGGACTACTTTGTGTCTGTAGGAACTAGGGTTGTCACAATTAAAACTATAATACATATAATATAATATCTATATAAATAAATTAAATATATATAGAAATACTAACATTTTCTACTGGATACCGATACTCAGGAAAATATTCGATACTCCATACCATTTTTATACCACAAGGATAAAAACAAAGACCCAAAATTTAACTGAATTGTGTCTTTCATTTCAAACTGACCTGTTACTGATGTTATCGTGACTGGTGGCCCACATTAATGACCCTAACCCTAACCCTAACCCTAACCCTAACCCTAACCATGACCCTAACCATGACCCTAACCCTGACCCTAACCCTAACCCTTCATAATTGTGAGAAATAAATATTTTTTGGTTAAACTTGTTTGGACTTATTGTACAAACCTATTTAACATCCACTATTTTAACATAATATTATGGATAGAGTTTAATTCAGTGTTTGCAAGATTCATTTCACTATTTTTAAATTAATTTCTATATTGCCATGAAGCAATTAGGATTTTCTTGCCTGGGATCTTCCTATTGGAGACCTAATCAAAATGGCCGACTTGGATGTGGGGGAGTTGGATATCCATCCTTGACGATTAATGTTGGCGTGTTATTATTAGCCATTAGCCGCAGCTAGCAATCCAAGGCTAACGTCACGTTAATGATCATAAACAACATAAATAAATAAATGAGAGAGAAGGGGGAGTTCCCCAAGCAGAAACTCCCAGATGTTCTAAACCCAGGTTATAACTTTTTCATCTGCTGCCTTTTATAAAAACAGGTGTTAATTCCTTTTTTATCTTATCATTATTTGCTAACTACCAGTGCTGTTAGGGTCCAATACAAGCTCTGTCTATATGTAAATTATATAAAATATCTTTCTCATTTTCAAACAAGCAAGTGGCATAAATCTAAATTTTCCTCGTTAATTTTATACAATCTGTGACCTTTGGAATCTTTTCTCAGCTTCATATAAATAAGTGACTATAAAGACATTTCACACCTACAAATTTTATAAAATATCTTCCAGTTTCAAACGAGCAAGTGGCATAAATCTAAATTTTCCTTGTTAATTTGAAACAATCTGTGACCTTTGGTATCTTTTCTCTGCTTCAGATAACTAAGTGACTATAAAGACATTTCACACTTATAGAGTTCAGCCTGAAGACTTCACAGGGATCCCGTTAAGGGCCGGTTAATCAGGAAGAAGCTGCCTGTTCAAACATGTTTTTGTGTCCTCCCTCTGCTGTATTTTGGTCTTACTTCACCCCCCAAACATCCGCCCAGACTGCCTCCTCTGGGTAAACAGGGTGAGTAACGACACAAACAGGGAGGCTGGAACAATGGCTTTCCACCGCAGTCCATCAGGATCTCACTGGGCCTGTTTGCTCTGGAAATAGAACTGTGAGGACCACGCCCAGTTTCTGTTCATATATCAGCCAACATGGCTTTGTTTGAGCCACAGAAAGGGAACTATTTAATGTTATTTAAGAGCCCAAAGGCTCTGAGAGCCAAAAACGAAAAGGACTCAAGATTTCTGCTCTGCTCTACAGTGGGGAAATCAGTATTTGACCCCTTGCTTTAGTTTTTCCAGTTTAACTCCATGAAACAATAATGTTTCTTAGCATTAAAGTGCTACACAGGTCCCACACCAACGCTTTATTTACAGTGGGGGAAATAAGTATTTGAGCCCTTGCTGATTTTGCAGGTTTGCCCACTTACAAAGAATGCTTATTTTTCCTCATCAGATGGTTATCCATTTTTATAAATTCATATGATGTGATTTTCTGGAATTTTCTTTGGGATTCTGTCTTTCACTGTTAGAATGTACATATGATTAAAGTTATAGATCGTTGCATTCTTTGTAAGACTGCTAAAGAAGGTTTTAGATGGTTTCTGCGGCCACTAACTAAATGAATAATTAACTAACCAACTAACTAAATGAATAATTAACTAACCAACTAACTAAATGAATAATTAACTAACCAACCAACCAACCAACCAACCAACTAACTAAATGACTAACCGATCAACCAACCAACTAACTAAATGACTAACTAACTAACTAACTAACTAACTAACTAACTAACTAACTAACT